TATAAGCAGAATCAGGTCAGGGTTTCTACAAGACATCATGGTAGCAGTAATGTCCTGGCTATGGCACAGTACAACCTCTAGGATCCTCAAAACTGTTGGAAGTGTTGTTTTTATCTGGGGTGACCTTTAGTACCCTTATTGGTTAGGTGGATGAAAGACATGAAGGACAGAGCTGGTGGAAGCAGAAAATAAAGATGTCAGAGAAATCCAAGACTGATTTAAAGAGGATTGGGTTCCTGTTAAACCAACTAGTGGAATGGCTTTTTCTGACTTGTGCATATTCTGCAGACCATTTTTTTTACAGAGGCAGGGAGTTTTGTGTAAGTGTGCATTAGCAAATGAACAAAATTATTGTATAGGAAATCTGATTCTGTCAGTGATCAGATCATGCAATAAAAATGCCAGGCAATCTGTGAACACAAATGGAATAATTTTACAAAAGCAGTACATCCCTATAAGCAAATCTGGCACCTTCTTTGTTGGTTTTGGACTTCTGTCTTCAAGCTGCTGAAAGTGCAGGAGTTCCACAAGCAAAGGAATGAGAATGAATACCCTGGCAATAGCAGAGGCTTCCAGGGAAAAACATTTTGTGGCATGTGTTACACTCTCTAGACTATACACTATGTCTTGTGTGAGTTTGATGGAGTGCAAAAAGGTCCAACTTTTAGGGCAACTCCTTGTCTGTGCCTACATGAGGAACAAACTGTATGACATGTGGATCCTTAGAATATCATTAAGTCCTGTTTTTCGCCTTTTATATACTTTCATATGCTAGGAATGAACATTTTTCCATAAATACCTAAGTGTTACATTATTTAGCTTTCTCAGAATTTTTTGTTTCTACAAAAAGTATCAAAAAAGGACCTGCATAAGAAGAATGGCCACATTCACACATACAGTAAAGCATTGTTTTGAGAATTGTGAATGAGCTTCAGTTAAGTCTTGGACTCACATACTTGCTGTTCCCACTCTTACTTTTCATTTCCATGGAACCATAGTTTGTCAGATGACAAACTATGGTTTAACTACAGTTAATGACAAACTACAGTTTGTTAGTCTGAATGACATGACAAACTTTGGCTAAGCAAAGAAATGGAAGCAAATGCTTCTGAACCCCTCCTCAACCATGAGGCTGTAGCCTTTTCAGAGGGGGAGCAAAATGTCCTGCCAAAACGTGGTTCCTTTCTATCTCCTAAATTATGGATTAATGTGACATGACAAGATAGACAATAGGTTAATATTATAAAATCTTTAAAATGTAGAAGAAAATTAATTCTGTAAAAGTTACATGCCCGACAATGAAACCAGCTGCAAAACGTTGGGGCAAAGGACACCGAGAGAGAGAGAGAGAGAGAGAGAGAGAGAGAGAGAGAGAGAGAGAGAGCGCGCGCGCGCGCGCGCGCGCGAGCGCAATTAGTGGAAGCAAAAGGAGACGGCCTGCAAATTTGCAAGAAATAAAGGTTCAGTAGAAATGCTCCACTGCTTTCAAAGAAGGATTTTTAAAAATCAAATCCCTAGTCAAGTCGGATGCTTTGGAAATGCTCCACTGATTTTAAATGAGCTTTTCTACCAAATCTTGATACAGATGTAATACTAATTCTCAGTTGAAACTAATGGAAGATTCTTATCACCTTCAACTTAATTTAGGATTTGGTGAAAATGTTCCAGCAAAACTAATGAAGGATTTGGCTCAGAAAGCATTTCAACCTTACATAAGCTATTTCCCATCCCTGATCCTCCCAAAAGAGAGCAAGCTGAGCAATGCTATCATGGCAGTGGTGACAATTTTGTTTTTGGCCACCACTGCCTCAAGAACTCAAGAGTTTTCATTGGAAGCAAGAAAAAAAGTATCTGCATTGTGATGTGCTTCACCAGTGATAGCCTTTTAAAATGCACAGAAACTCTATTTCTGCATTTGCTTTATGTTGTTATTAGCCACCCAGAGAGCTTCAGCTATTTAGTACAACAGTGTAATAAATAAATGAATGAACAAATACATCTTTTGTGAGTGCAGCAGTGGGGCGGGGGGGAACCATGGTCAATGCCATCATGTTGAATACAAGGCTCTGTATGTGCATCTTTTCTTGTTGGGGCAGTGTAATCCTGTGGCTCAAAATTGAGGAACCTCCTTTGGTGGGGACAACATGCCCTTACTGAGGCACCTGACTGAGCCTAACTGCATCAGCCTCCAAGAGAAAGATGCTCTGGAGTCTAGCAGGCATTGTTCTCTGTCTTGAAGGCTGACACATCCCAAACCTGGCTTCAGTAAGAAGAGGGATGAATCCTGTGCTCAAGGTCTTGCTTTACCCTTTCCTTAACATAGCCTTCCCCAACCTTGAGCCTTCCAGATACTTTTGGACTGCAACTCCCCGAATTCCTTGTAAGTGGTCCTGCTGGCTGGGAATTCTGGGATATGCAGTCCAAATGCCTCAGAAGGCCACCAGATTGGGGAGGGCTGCCTTAAACACCAATCCTAAAAAAATACCATACAAAATAACTCCTGCTTATTTCAATGGCATACAGTACTTATATGGTATTGAAGGATGGATATGTGAAACAGGGTTTGTATTTGGTTGATTCTAACAATACCAGTGACTTCCAACTCAACTTCATCAAATGGAGGAAGGAATATAAAAGTCAATCCCAGGTTGAGACCACCATTGGTGTCACCAGAACTGAGTGCATGCATGAACAGAGCAATCACACCACCAGCAATGCTGTCCAAGGACTGTTTGATTAAGAAGTTAAGATGCATCCACAGGGCAGGTCACAGAAATGAATAGTAGCAGTGATGATGATGATGGTGCAGTCTATAAATGCTGTGGTCCATTATTTGATTGTAGATTGGAAGAGGCCCCACATAAAAATCCGGAGGATCCATGATGGCCTGTGACTCAGATCTGTTTTTGCATCATGGCAATGGCTTGTAGCATTAGATCTGTAATTTTTTATCATCATTAATATAATTTGTGAGCTGGTGACAGACTTGGATTTTGTAGAATCTATGGTGAAATTTCAGAGCAGTCATTCAGAGCAGTGCCTCAGATTTTACGAGTAGGTTTCCAGAGGGATGGGTGTGTTAATAAGTTGCAGCAAGAGCAATTAAGGGTGCCGTCCTATCAGTTGTGCCTTTGTTGCTCTGAAGCTGCCCAACTCCAAAGTGACAAATTTCCTATATCCATCCAGACTGATGTAGGCAGGACAGGAGAAGTGGTGGAAGAAATCTTTTTTGCCTGTGTAGCATGGATGCTTCACAGGGGACAGAAATGAAACTGAGGACTTCAGGATAACTGGAGCATCCCGTTCCTCCTTTGCGGAGGTTGCTTTTCCTGTTTTAGAGAGGAAGCTAGAAGAGTTCTCTCTGTGCCCCCTGCAAGATGGAGGGACCTGGGATCAGATCTCAAGCTCCACCTTCTGAGATTGGAGTGCTGCCTCCAAGCTGGGGGGCTGTGCTCCAAGCAATCCTATGGTCCTTGGGTTGCTCACCCAAGGTCCACAGGGTTGCTCTTGTGGATGATGTAAACAGAAACAGCAGGAGAGGAAATACAGTATCAGCAGAGAGAGTTCTGAAAGGCTGGAGAGTTTTCCCCCTGGTTTTTGAGTATTTCTGATGTCAGTCAATTTGACTTACTATTATCTGTAGAGAATGACCCATTTGTCTGGTGCAGAATGCAGAAAAGATGGCAAAAGATGGCACATCTTGAGACTGAAAGATGAATCCTTGAAGATGGCCTTAGGTCCTGCAGTAGCATTTCTGCTGGATATGGGCATTTCAGGCTGTGTGCTATGGTGCTACCTGGAAGTGCTGGGTGCATAATTTTGATTGGACATAGGGTGGATAAAGAGGTGATATATGATTTGGTGGTAACCAGACTTTTTAAGTGTAGAGGAACCATTCTTTGGCTTCATACTATAGTGGCTCTAGGAAGTGATGGATGCAAGAATTTTGTGGTACAATTTGTGGAAAGCATTATGTTTTGCAATATGATGGCAGTTTTATGGGGACTTCATGTAAAAATTCACAGGATCCATGTTTTTGCACCATGGCAACTCCAGGAACGGATCAATGTTATTTTTATGGTGCTGTCTGTGGAGATGGAATCAAACTGTGAATTAGCAGTGGAGGGGGGAGGTTTCCCCATGATTAAAAATCCATGATTTTTATAGTGCAGCCCATCGATATGCATATAGCGTTGTCGCAGTGGAGGATCCGTGCCTCAGATGTATCTTGTGCTGTGAAGCGCTGGATTATTATGGTGCAGTCTGTAGGCACAGACGTGATCTGCAAGTTAATGATGTTTTTGGTGCCATCCACTGTAAAAATCCAGGCCCATGCTTTTTGCACCATGGCAGCGCTGGCTTATCAGGTCTGGGTTGTGGACACGGCTATGGCTCCAGCTTTAATTGCGATTTGGGAATATCCTCGGTAAACAAGAACAACAACAGCGTGAATTCAGAAGGATCCATTTTCGACTTTTCCTTCGGAGATCAGTCCCACTGGATTCCATGAGAATTAATCCCACGGAAGCGCCCGTAATACCGCAATTGCCTGGACACTTAATTGGGACGGAATGCGTCCTGTTTGAACTCGGTTCGGGGGAATCCCAAGTAAACACGCGTAGGATCGGAGCGACTCCCCCACCGCTACCCCGGGAACTCAACGCAAAACCTCGGGATTCTGGAAGGATGCTGGGGACCGGCCGCAGCCCACGGACCCGCCGGAGCACCGAAGCGCCCGACCACAAGCTCCAGCCGTAACGCGCCTCAGATCTGGCGCCTTGAGGCAGCACGGACTGGGCGTGGCCTCGGCTCCCAGCGCTGGAGAGGCGCGAATCCGGACCGAACACGTCACAGCCCGCCCTGGCGCGGCCCGTCCCCGCCTCGCTGGCTGCCGCTATCTCTTTAAGGTCGTGGCGGGGAGGGGGCGTGGAGGGCAGCGGCGGCGCTAGTAGGCGTTTGTCTCGCGAGAGCAGCGTTGGCGCCGTGACCTCCATGTGAGAGCCGCGGCGTCTGGTAAACAGTCCTCGGGGTTAGGACATGGCTCCCGCTGGCGCCCCTTAGCTTCGTGCTGCCGGGCAGCTCCCCGCGCGGAGCTCTGACAGGCTTTGGCGCCGCAGGGAAGGGAGCTTGATCGGGCCGTTGCCGCGGGCGTGTCGCGGCGGGGGGAGGAGGGACCAAAGCGGCTGGCGGGTCAGGGAAGAAGGCCAGCCGGCAGTTGAACAGACTCGCGGTGGTCCTCGGGAGTAAGGAAGGGGATTTCCCTCCCGCCGCGCCTCCCCTCCCCTCCCCCCCCGCCTTGGCGAGCCGCAAAACCCAGAGGCGGGAATCGCCTTTTCCCTCCCATTCTCTTGCCCGGGAGTGCGCCATGTGGATCCAGGTCCGTACGATCGACGGTGCTCAGACCCAGACCATCGACGACCTCAGTCGCCTCACCAAGATCGAGAGTCTGCGCGAGAAGATCCAGGAGAGCTTCCGCGTGAGCCCCGACCGGCAGCGCCTCTTCTACCGGGGCAAGCAGGTGAGGCGACCGTGACACTCCCCCCTGCGCAGGCTCTCGGGCCGCGTTGCTCGTGCTTAAGTTGCGCTTGTGGTTGCGATGCTCCTTCCCCTCTTCGTAAGCATTGGTTGCTGTCCTTCCTCACCGTGGGGAAAGCAGCCCGAGGATGCCTTTGTGCTGAGGGAGGGGGGAGGGGAGGCAGCGGCGGCCGTTGCATGCCGCCCTCCACCCCCACCCCGTTTCCATCGCCGCGGCTCGCGCTGCCGGGCGCGTCGGCCTCTCCCGCGGCTTGCTGGCCGGGGAATGGCTGCGCTTGGGGGGCGCGGGGCGGCGGAAGGGGAGCGATGAGGCAGGTTGCGCGGACTGCGCCTCTGGTGCCTCGCGCTGTTTCCGGTGGTTCAACGGTCTCCAGAAACTTTTGGTACTCGCCCCGCTCCCTCCAGCTCGCCTGCCCAGGGAAGTGGCAGCTGGTCAAGGAAAGTTCTTCCTTTCCCCTTTGTCGGTCTCTCTCTCGCTGCTTTCGCTTCTTTCTTCCCGTCTTCCTTGTGTGGCCCATCAGTAGCAGAATGGCAGAAGAGAGTGCTTTTCGCACAGCCCCGCGCAGAAAATCGTGCTTCCTTTCCTTGGATATGGGCCATTATCGAGCATTAGAATCAGTCTCTCTCTCTCACTCACTCAGCGTCCCCCCTTAACTAAGGTACTTTCCCAAATGGCACCAAGAAGCTGTTTCCTACTGTTTAAAAGTTCATAGATGTTCATGCAAGCTGGTTATCGTAAGACACAAAATCTAATCCAATGTCTGAGTAGAAGTCCGTCCACTCAATGAGGCTTTCTCCCTTTCTTTCACCCTGCAGCTTCCATCCCCCCCAAATTCTGCTCTGGGGAGTTGCTCAATTCTCTGGAACGGATGTTATGGGTACACAATGGGCTGCATGGGGCAGGATGATTTGTGCCCCTTCCCAATTCCTACTTCAGTGGATTATATCTCTGTCACGTGGCTCAGTCATTGTGCCATTTTGGCCACCATTTTCTGGTTCTGGGGGGCTAGCTCTTCTGGTTTCATGCATATATAAGCCACTAGGATTTGGTGGATCAGAAGTTACATAAACTATTTTAAAAATGGTAAGCAGTATATACATCTAATAAATAACAAAGTAGAATCTAAATCTGTCTCTGCCCTGCAAAATTTTGGCCAGTCTTTTAATGAATCATAAACACTGATGATGGAGCCAGGGGAGCAAAGAGTTGTACCGAAGCTGCAGCAGAAGGCTCCAAACATAGCTGTAAATATGAATTGTAGGAATTCTTAACCAGAAGAATCACAGTTGTTGATGAAAATGCTACTGATATTTGGGCAAGTATGGAAATTTTGTATGACTGAGGTCACTCAAGCATCTTTTCTGTCCTGCATTTGAAACACCATCATGCAAGTCTTTTTATGGCTCATGGGCATGCTCATTCAGTGCACCTGAGACCTTTAAGCCACTGTGCATAACATAACACTTGTGGAATATAATACACTGTGACATATGTTCTAGGGTCATAGCATTGCTGCTGTGCAAAATGCCTTTGCAGTTTTGTACTCATAAGCTAAGAGCAACTGCTGAACACACGTATTGTTTGTTCCTAGAAGCTCTTGCATGAAATCTGCCTAATCAAACTGAGAATAGCACCAAGTAGCTCAAATCTTAAGATCTTTGGTGAAGGTCCTTCTTTTGATACTGCTGCTTTCAGAGGGGCATTTGGTGGTGATGTGAGAGAGGGCCTTCTCAGTGACTTCTCCCAGACTGGGAACCCACTGCTGAAGGTGGTTAGGTTTGTTTCCTGTTCATTGTCCTCCTGCCAGTAGGCAAAGACCTTTTTATTCATGCATGTCTTTGGTAGTAAGTGGTTCTGTTGGGTTGGATGCTATTTTTATCCCCTTGTGTTTTTAATTGTGATTAATTCATTTGTTTTATTATTGTTTCAGTCAAGTTGTGAATATGACTGTAAGCCACCTTGTGTGTCACGTTTCCTAGCAGGTGCACTTCCACAATTGGATTTAAACTTCTTCATGTAAAATGGTAGTAAAATCCCTGTGAATGACTAATGCAGATAGGCTTATATTAATGTTTATGGTTTAAGGGGAGGTGTTGAGGGGGAATTTTCAAAGTAAGGGAGAGTTTTTATTCCTCTGCCCGGGATATACTCCAAGAGAGCACTCTGAGTAGTGAAAGAATAACTTCACCCCATCTGGTTGTATATACATATGTACAGGTGTGGTGTGACTGTTCCATGCTTCATTACAAGTTGTTTGGGTTTGCCTGATAGAAAGGTGAGTCTTTCTCAAATAACCTGAAATCCTTTTTCTTGCCCTGTGTCTATTGGCTAAAAGTAAGGGGAACAGAAACCTGTTCTTGTTGTTTTGTTGGGGAATAGGAACATGGCTTTCCCAGTGTTTTGCATCCACAAAACACTTAGGATCTGGTGAGTGTCTACTATAATCTCCAAGTCAGTCACTCCACTCCCCTTCTAAACTGTTTCTTTTCAATTGTGATAGGAAAAATTGTGCCTGTGCTCCCACTGCTGTGAGCCTGCATGTTTTTCTCTTTGTGCACGCTAGCTCCTTCTCTATTATTAGGGAAGGTTGGGTTGCTTCATGGAAAGGGAGTCATTATGAATTATCATCCTCCCACCCTCCCCTGCTATTTGGATGAAACATATCCTCCATTCACATGGTTCTTGACATTCCTGAACTTTGTCTGGTACAGAGGATAATTCTTGAGTTTTCCTTTATGTAAATCATACCATGACATTGATGAGTAATAGAGTATTTGCTTCTTTTATCATACAGTTGAGGAATGAAACTGTAGGTATTTTTCCACATTGTCATTATACTAGATGGGTGAGAAAAGTCCTCATTTCTTAAGGGTCCACATGCTATTTCAGAGAAGGAAAACAATCTTTTCATGTAAAATCACTTGAGAAAGGGTTCAAGTACTCTGAATCCTCTACATAAGTTAATATATGGATAAGGTAACACCTGGGTCATCTGGCTATACTGTAGCACAGTGCTTAATTACAGAAGCAGCCCTGCAAATAGCTAAAGAAATGCTTAACATGGAGCTTTAGAGAATAGCAAAGTTCCCAGCTCCAAAGAGCTTATCATCTGAACTTGAAACTTGTTGAATGAAAGAAATGACAAGAATAGAAGCACTTGGGGTAACAACAGATGAGTGTGAGCAAGTATTTTTGAGGTTCTTTTCAGGGTTACCTTTTCCCAAAGCAATGTATAAAAAAGTGAGATAAAAAGGTACAGTTTAAAGGTGATAATGTCAGTTGTCCAGAATTACTTGTGAAGCTGCTCTGCTGACATAAGCTACAGTGACAATAGCATTTTGTTGAGAGTTCTCGGAACTATGGACCACTGTCAAGAAGGCCATTCTTCTAGTGCACATGAATCTCACTGCATTTGAGAAGTACCTCTGAGGTACATCTTATTGTATTCACAGGATTATATCAGTGAAGGCATTCTTTTTGGTAACCTGACCTGAAGCCATTAAAGAAACTTTTGATACTAGCATCTTGAATATTGCATATTTGTGTGTTTAGTCCCTGGTTGGAATGTGGACGAATATATAAACACAGCTCTCTGGGACACAGTTCTCACTAGATCTTTTGGACTTTAACTCCTATCATCCCTGATTAGTGCTGTGCAGATGGGTTAATGGGAATTGTTGTCCAAAACATCCAGAAGACACTGCATGGGACAAGGCTGATGTAAGAGAAGTATATTTTGGATAGTCTGAGATAATTGCTCCCTCATGAGGCTAATCCATTGGCCAAGGTTTCCTTTTATTTTTGTTTCGTTTCGTTTCGTTTCTAACATAGAATGCATAAATTGGATCCTGGTGTTGCATGGTGTATCAGAGTCAAACACTGGGTAGATGTTGTGAGTTGGCCTAAAAAAGAAAGTATGAACGAACTGTGGAGGGTGGTAGGTATATTCAGAAAGAAAACCTCATGTAGGGTCCAACGTAGATTTAGGTCACTTCGGATGGCAGGTGGCTGTATTAGAAATAGTTTGAATGAATTGGATGCACATCCCTTGTGATCATGGACTGGGTTCACACATCATGGCAAACAGCCTTGTGCAGTTTGCACAGTGCACAGATTTTTGCCCAAATTTCCTGGTCAGATTGCTGTGTGGCTTCTGTGGCACTGTTGCTTCTTTACTTCCTGTTCCATCTTCCTGCTCTTGTCATGTGTTCTGGCAGGCCCTGTGGGTGAAATGCCCTTCCTTACTATTGCTTTTTGTGTACCTTAGCAGCCTTTTCCTGATTGGCCTGCTGGGGTTTTGAGGCAGGGTCTCTCTCTTCCCCATCCCAAGTGTGCCTGCATTTCTGCTTTGTGGGTGGGAATTCCTTGGGTTCCCTGGATTAAGTTCCCTAGAGTGTAGCCAATTTTGCAGGGTCTGAGTTATTGGTTAGCATGCCTAGCATTTGTGGAGTGCTTGCTAAGAATCTTCCTCATGAGGTTTGTGCTCGAGAGCAGTGTCTCCCTCTGTAAGGGTGCAGACCCGATTGTGTGGGTCTGCCCACAGAGCCGGATGGATCCAGACGGATTCCTGAAGGCCCTGGGGGAGTTTCCGGCTGACAAGACTGGTGCTCCTGTCGAGGCTCTGGAACGGGGAGATGACTAGGGCTGCTGATACGATCACTCCTAAGCGTCCTCTCCCGTCAGGCAGAGCCCACTCTTCCCCTTGGTATACACCTGAATTGCAGGCGATGAAGCAGGCTGGGAGATGGCTAGAGTGTAGGTGGAGGAGATCACGGGATGAATCTGACCGAACACACTTAAGAGCCCATTATCGGGCCTATGCTGTGGTGGTGAGGACGGCAAAAAAGAAATTCTTTTCCGTTTCCATTGCCTCCTCAAAATGCCATCCAGCGGAGCTTTTTCGAGTGGTACAAGGCTTGGTCCACCCTGGCCCTAAGAAAGATCTGGTTCCACCCTCGAAGGCCTGCTGTGATGACTTTGCC